AAAAAAACTAATCTAATTAAGATTTGATGTTCCAAAGTGGATCAGTATCTAAAGGCTAGGTTCAGTAACACAAAAGACAGACCAAATTGTTTGGATCAAAGGAAGATTTATTCTCTAAAGATGACCACAAGGTCCAGAACCAGGCAAGGTCAGATCAAAGGTTCAGTAACGGAAGCGACCTCTTCTAATCCGAGCCCAAGCAATGGCTGCGACTGCAGCTCCTCCCAAGTGAGCCGCACCTGAGATGTTACTGTTCCCCTGCAAAATGTCCAAATTGTTTCTTGTTTGTTTAAGAAAACATTAACAGATTGTTTCTTCTCAAATTTTGCAATGTCTTGTTATATTACCTCTGTTATCCTTAATATGTCTTTTCCAATGAGGAAGATTCCCTGAAAGATAAAGAAGAGTGACATTTAGTTGACTTAAGAAGAAAAGCTTTACGCTGAACATGATTGAGCCAGAGAGCTTAAAACTTACAAGCAACATTGCGGGAACTGGAATGATAAACTCAAGGTATAGAGTAGCTGTTGGGTGCAGGAAGATATCGAGCAGTATGATGGCATTCACCGCTCCACTCGCACCCTTTTATGCAACGAAAAAAATAATTCTTTAAATGTCATATAAAAACACAAATCCATTCTCAGTTGCATCCATCAAATCAACAAAATTGAAGATTTAGCTATGTCAAATTCATGTTGGAATAGAACAATGAAAAATTCAAGAGTTAACTCGGGAAGAGTTTGCTCGAAAATCAAAACTTTCAAGGTCTGACATCCAAATTAAAGATTTTCAGTCCATGCTCTCTGGATACAGCCATGAAAATCAAACATACCAGTCCCGGGGTTCTTGATGGATCCCTCGTGAAAGCTCCTTGACCCTGTCATTAGTCCCCCAGTATAAATAAGGTATAATTCAAGTGGAAAGGGATCAAGCAAAAAAACTAATTTATTAGAGGACATAGCATGATCTGAGATCAAGTAAACTAATTAGACTCTTTTATGCCGGTTTCTATATACCTTGGGCGACGTCGCAGCCATGTAAGCATGATGAATCAAGTAGAAAACAGAGCCACCAAGCGCTCCAGCAAGGTACAGCTTCAAAAGGAACTGAGGGCCGAAGTTTCTTGCGATCTAGCAAAAGAAGATTTGGGAAAATGAATAGGTAAGCGATTAGATATACAATTCACCATCTCTACCAAAACTTTTCAAAACAAAAATTAGCAGTGACTGTCTCAACCATGCTTCACTAGACATACGAAATCAAAGAGGATAAAGAGCTTATACACTGGTTCCAAAGAAGTAGAGTCCAATCATGTTAGAAATGATATGTCCAACATCAATATGACTGAATGCCGAAGTTATCAGAGTGTGTATACGTCCACTCGTGAAATTGTCCAACGATATCTGCCCAAAGACCATCAATACACAGCATTAACAGAAAAGTCATTGATTCTTGAATGATTCAAAGCCATTATCAATTATGTTTATCTCCAGCGTATCATAAAAAGACATCTAGATCTCATTTCTCCATGACAGGAATCAAAACAAAGCATGTATTGGAACGAAAGTGATAAGCTTTGAGATCTGACCATGAAATTATTCATCATGAACTGTTTGTCGAAGACCCGCCACATCAGAAACACAGCAGTGTTAGCTATAACTAAACCAAGAACAACGTCATTAGCTGATAATCCTTGAAGCCAATGCTTCCTGTAAAAAAAAATCAAATTTTTTTTTGTCCATGATACAAATCTCAATAAAGTTGCAAGAAATTTGAGGATGATGAAGGAACAATACCAGCCACGCCTTTGAAACCCAGAGAAACCCTCGATTTGGAAACCTTTTTTGGGAAACCGAGAACCGAAGAACCCAACTCTGGATTCCACAAGATTCCCCAATTTCGCGGATTTGTTCCCTAAAGCGCTCGCGAAAAAGCCACGAATTTTCTCCGATCGCCATAACAGAGAAGGGTCGAAGCGACTCACGGGAGGAGAAGACGGGGTCGAAGGAAGATAATGGGTCCGAAAATGGCGGCTCTGGTTTGGTCTAAAGAGCGAAGTAAAGGACTGACGGTGATGATGATGAATCGAGTGAGAATGAGTTGTTGGGTTCGCGAGCAATTTGGTGAGACGCGAAGATGACTCGACGACGACTCTACGGGAGAAAATCGAATTCATTTTTTTTTAACTTCTGTATAGTAGTAGAAAATTTGCCCCCAAAGACGAGACCTTTGTTGCGGTAAGAAAAATATCAAATTTTGATGGAATAGTGAGAAATAGTCGCTCTGGTGGACTAACTGCTGAACAAGGACTAATGGGTATTGTTCACATAGAGAGAGGAATCAATGGTGCAGAGCAATTTAGCAGCTTTGATGTTTCCGTGTAAGAACTTTTCTGATGTTTTTGAAAGATGATGTACTAAGCTTCCAGTTTTATCATTTCACATAGCTCTTTAATAGGTTTTTCTTGCCTTTTCAAAATTCAAAATCCTCTATAGGACAAAAGAAGAAAATCGAGTTTAGTACTACTGGGAAAAAAAATGTAGCAACTATGAACAAAAATCACACAAAATTGGTGATATTCTAAAAGCATCACATTTCCATCTATATATCTCATGCTAATTTTCAGCAATACAATACATTCAACAAAAAGCAGCTCACAAAATTGTCTTCACATGAGTCAAAAATGTTCACTTATGATATTTCATGTTATTTTAAACCAAAAACATCACTTCATTTTTGTGAAACAAATTACGGAGATGGATTGTTCATTTTCTATAATGAATTCATTTGAATAAACAAACTCGAAGAAACCAACTTTGCTTAAACAAATGATATATTTCTTCCGATTTGCTCTTGGTACAAAACAGAGGCTGCTCTGTTTTTTTTTCTTCTCATTGATTTATGATAGATACGCTCAAAAACAACAACATAACATTTTCACCGCACATTCATTCATCCAATATTAGGAGGTGGCAAATAGAACATTTATTAAATCAAAGCAACTTATGCTACATAAAGATGAGCATAATCAGACAATCATAGTTTAAAATCAAGACAAGAAGATCAATCATGAAGTGAAGAAAGAAAACCAGTTCCTTTAAACTTCTCCTCCATCAATCCATCAATACGAGCAACCATCTCTGGAGTAAGATAATTCTCCCAATCCCCAACTTTTCCTTTCCTGAAATAAGCACTGTTAGCAAAAACGGCAGGACGATCTTCTCTATCTTTCTCACCTTTATTAGCTTCAAGATTCTTCAAATTCTCAAAGCTACAAAGACTCACAACTTTCTCAACAACCTTCTCTTCCTCTTCCTCTTTAGTGAATCCAAACCCCATAAACTCAGCTAATCTCTTCACATACGGCAATGGATCAGCTCTCATCGTCTCATACTTAAGAAACAAAATCTGATCTGGGTTTGCTTCGTAAGCTTTCCAATACCCTAAAACATGATCAAGATAAGGACCGTACACAGATAAACCTTGACAAAACTTATCAAAAGCTTCCTCCAGACCAATGAGATCTCCATGTAGTGATCTCTCCTTGTGAGCAAAAGTCCACATGGAGACAAACGTGTCCTTTGGGTCTCTCCAGATATAAACCATCTTGCAACCAGATCTCACGATTGATTCAGGTAAGAGATGGTAAGGGATGTGAGTAGAGAAAAGCGTGTTCCTTTCGTCATTAAGAACATCGACGGTTGGGAAAAACGGGAAATCGATTTCGATGTAAGGCACGAACTCGTGTGGGTTTCGTTTGAGAAGAGGGTTAGTGGAATCGTCGAATTTGGAGCGATTTGCGATTGCGAAAGTTAGGGCTTTGAGCCAAGTGGTTCCGGTTTTTGGGTAGCTGCAGACGAAGAAATCAATGGGTCGAGCTTTGAAGAAAGTCTGAGCATGGAGTAAACCTTCGAGGAGAGGTTGTAGCCACCAGTGACCACCGTACTCGATGACCGGTTCTTTTGGTCGCCAACCGTCTTTGTGAGGAAGTGTAGCGATGATTTCTTGGTAATGCTTCTGGTTCTTCTCGAATTCTGATGGATTCGAATCTGACGTTACGACGTCGTTTAGGGTTTTGGATTCTTCCATTATATAAAGAGAGGATTTTGCTTTGCGGTTTTCTTATACGTTTCTTGTGTGTATAATATATATAGTTTTTGTAGTGAGAGATATGCGACTAGGTTGGTGGGTGAGTGGTGGTGACTGGTGTGGCTGTTATTTAACCAAAACGTGTTATATGTGATTTTGCAGTTGCTGGTTTGGTGAACATGTTAAAACAAAACAAAATATTTTCTTAGCTGAAATTTGAAATTTTCTTAGTTAATTAAGATATTTTATTGTAATTTTCTTTTTTTTCAACATATTATTGATAATTACTTTGTTGTGAACGGCAAAAAAAAATTACTTTGTTGTGATACTATTTACCATATTTGTTCGACAATGATCAAGGTGTAGTGAAATGGTATGGTGCAAAGGCTTATCCGAGGTTGTGTTCTTCTCTAGATTGATATTCTCATATTTTACCTTATTTAGATACGGTTTAATCATATTTTCATCCCGCATTTGCATATCATTTAGGCATTTTAGGGACATTTGCATTGGTTTTGTCTTTGTAGGTGAGATTGGTGGTGAATCTTGAAAGAAGAGGTTTTGGAACATATTTGGATCAAGAAGAGGATGCAAAACATGAATTAGTGTAGTTAGAGTGCAAAGGAGAAGACGAGGAGTAGAAGAAAGATTTCAGCACGTATAAGCCAATTTCGACACCCCAAATTTCGAGAGGAAGGACTTCGGAATTTGCAGAAGAAACCATCATTTTCGCACAGAGGAAATTTCGACCCCCCAATTTCGAGAGGAAGAGATCTGGAATTGACACAGTCTTTTCTCAACTAAAAGATCCGACCCAATTCAAATTGGGTTGACTCGGTTCCGTTTTTACCTAGTATAAATATGTTTTTAGAGCTAAGAAAACCCCAAGTTTGATTAGACCTTTCATCTTTAAGCTTCAAACTTCATTGCTTATGTTTTTTGTTGGATCTTTTGCACTTTTCACATAATCTAGTGAAGT